TGTGTATTGAGAAAAATATTTAATAATATTCTATAAAAATAATAATCCTTTGTTTGGACAGTGTGAGAATTTTCCATCCATTTAGACAACAAATGTCTTCAGAGTAATAATATTAACCACTACTTTAACATTAAAAAACACTGATATTATTTAATAATCTAAATTAATATAACAATTAAATACTACTGTTCTAAAAATCTCCAACATTTCGATTATTAGTTTTAGATTTTCATACATAATCGATATCACATGTTCTTACACAATGTAAAAGATTCTGCATATTAGAGATTCATATTTTATGAATTTATATGCACAATTTTGACAGATATTTGATTTAAATAACATATTTAGGTTTTTGAGAATAATTGATGTAGATACATTGATATTATATTAGCTTCAAAACCATTATGGAATATTTTAAAAATAAATAGATATTTTCATTGTAATGATTGAACCCAAATATAAAAACTATTACCATTTAGAAAAAAGAAAGTAAAGTAAAGATCTTATTTACTTATGTGGAAGTTGTACCCATATCACATTCAACATGTTACCTTTTTTATATGTTTTTTTACATCAAATAATATATTAATAATATGTTTATTTTAATTTTTATGACTGTTAGTAATATAGTTATAATGATTTTAATAGCTAAATAATTTAAATTGTAAAATAATTAAATAATAAGGCTGAATATAGATTTAGTTGAAAATATAATATATTTTTTATTTTTAAAAGTAAAATTTTCATAAATTAAAATATAATTAAAAGATCTATATATAGCTTATTTAAAATATATATGTAAATTAAAATTAATATATATATATATATATATATATATATATATATATATANCATATATATATATATATATATATATATATATATATATATTACAAAATTCAATATACCAATTAAACGTAATTTATGTGAATTTTAACTAATAACTGTACTAATCTAATCAAAATATTGCACCAACTTAACAAAAGTGTTGTGATTTGAAAAAGAAAATGATGAGATTCCATCATATTCACTCATTTTCTTAGAGTTACATAAAGTTTAGTGATTTTTATATAATGTTTCCATATGATATAGTTGGCACAATATGTTGAGATTCTTAAAAATAAAAAAATTGAATTATTTAAACTTTCTTTATGAAAAGTCGATGAAAAAAAATTATGTTATTTAATTTAAAAAAAAAGGTAAAAATGAGAAAGTGAATTAAAAGTTATATGTGTAATCACCACATGTTATCTTGAAATTCCTGTAATTTATAACTCTACCAAACTCTCATAAAAGATAAAGCTTAATTTTTTTTATAGAATTCTTATATATAAATATACAACAAAGTACATCATTTTATTAGATGAATGAGACAAAATCCTACAAATTATATATTAATTATCAACTACTAATATTTAATTCCATAGTTACATTTAATTTTTATTATATAAATTATATTTGTTTTATCTAATTAAAAGATAAAAACTAAAAAAACATTAAAAAACGAGATCATATCATTATTTAACTAATCAAGTTTGATCTGCATTAAAAACATATGGATTGATTCTTCATGTTATAATCCAAACATGAATTTAACCAGCAATTATAGTAATTTAATCAAAATATCACATTTAACTTTATGTGATGTTGTCTAGTAAATAAATAAATATTAAGTAGAAGTATGTATAACAAGTATACACCACATGAAGATCTATATTTATAATTTTTCTGGTGAAATGAAAATAAAAAGAGTTAAGTCTGATCAATTTTCATACATATCCAAATAAAAGACAAACTGTTGAAAAAAAAAAGTGAATACTCTTTGAAAATCGTATACTTGTTTGTAGATAATTTTCTTGTACTAATATTTTGTAAATTTGTTTATTAGATTTTCATATAATTTTTAGATTTTGCAAAAGGAAAAAATTGCAGGTTTTTTGAATGCATTTTCTTGTGAAGCAATAAAATAATAAAGAAGAGTTTATATTCACTGTAGATGCGAATTGTTCAAAGTTCATACTTGGATGACTTTTGCTACAGATAAGCTTTTATATTCATTTACTTTTAGTCAATTCTTAATCTTAAAGTCAAGTTGTGTGTGGTGCTACTCTCAGCTGTCCCTAACATTCACAGTATCACAGTATTTTGACCTAGTGCATGTACCCTTGTATTAATTAAATTATTTATGCCATCATTTTCGATTTCTACCTCAATCTTCTCCCATTTTAATGCCTTATTTTTCTACCCATTAATTATCACTTTGTTTAAACCCTACTAAAGTATTTCATGTATGGATATTGCTTGGACGGAGATTATTTTTATACTTATTCAAGAAAATAAAAATTAAAACTATCATTTTCACAATTTCAAATAACATCATCTTAGATATTACTATAAATTTTAATATCTAAGCACATCTCATTTATGTTCACCTCAAACTACATCAATTATTTATCATTATATAAAAAATTATTAAAAAAATAAAATAATGCAAAGTATGAAGTCACACAAAATCAATGATAAAAATTACTCTTTACAAAAATAAACAAACTATAGAAAAAAAACTAAGTAAATACACAAAGGTAAAACATTAAATTACTTTATATGAATCAAAGCTAAATTAGCTAGCAATTGATACCGCAGTTATTTCACAAAAAAATATGAAAAAAGCTGTAAATTTCATATGCTTATAAAAATATAAGTATCGATATTATCTTTTTCTAAAATTTTAAAAAACTACTCGTTGATCCAAAAATCATGACATACTAAAGAATAATGACTCTCCTACTGAAAGTTTTTCCTCCAAAACTGGTACGTAAATAATCCACATAAATTTGTCATAAACACAAGTCTGTACCCTTAAAGAAACTGAAAATTTTATCTAAATACTCATTGACTTCCTCTAAAAAGTACTTTGACATGAAACTAATTAACTAAAATAAAATTTATATTACGACATTAATATTCACCTTAAACTAATTAATAAATGAAACTATCAGTACCTTTAATAGTTTGAAATTAAAAAGTTTTATTACAATAAATAAAAAACAATATTACTTTAATGGTTTTAGATTAATTTTCAATCATATACATTGACTCATTAATTTAGCATAAAAAACCACAAATAAAATACAAAATTTACCCATCCTCAAAATTATCTAAAAAATATAATAATTACAGTTCCTTTAATAATTTTTTTCAAAGAATAACTAATAAAGATATTACTTTATTGTTTTGAATTCCAAAATATAAATATTATTGTTTCGAATTCCAAAATATATATTTTTTCAATAATGTCTTAAATATTTGAAAAATTAATTAATTAATGTAATTATCAACAAAATTTGTCAATAATTAACGAGATGTTTATCTATGAAAAACAATTATAGAAGAATATCGATAGTTACATGTGTAAGAAAAGTAGCAATGAGTATATTTGTCAATGTTTTTTCATGAATATATTCATTGACAAATATCGATATTTTCAGCAAATTCATATATGTAAAATATAAACCTCAAATTTTAAGTGATGGAATATACTGGTTGTAATGCTTTGATAATATTTATTTTCATAAAAGTTAATTTCTTACAAACAAATATAAAAAGAAGTTGTAAAGCTGATAATCAACAGTAAATATAAAATTAAACAATTTTAATATTCCCAGTTTCCTATTGTAAAGTTTTACAAAATAGTTAAAAGTAATGCTGTTTTACAAATTTGAGAGAAATGACATGATAATCCCAACCATCGTATGATATACACTTTTTTCCTTAATAGTCAATTAAATTAAATTATTTATTTATTTTATATAAAATAAGGTAGATCTTGAGATATTTATATTGTTCACGATAGTATCAGTATTTTAAATTTGTTGTCTTTTGTGATTATTTTTCTTTTCATAGGTTTTTGTGACTGATTGAAGTTCTTCTCGCCACCTTTACCCCACCTCTAATCGGAATGCTTTTTAAGTAAAAAATTATAAATGGACACTTTAACTTTTTTTATCTTTATTAAACATTTAATAAAAGTCCTTTTTTATTTATTTTGTCTTTAAATATATTATTTTAAAATCAAAATGTAATCTTATGGAACTTAAATAGATATAAAGTAAAAAATTAAGTATACATACACTTTCAGCTTAGTTGAATCATTTATTCACCGAAAAATAAAATTAATTGGACCCTCTAGATTCTAAAATGTACTTAAGCCAAAAGAAAGTATGTATTATGACGCACGGAGTTGATGCGTCAACCTTGGAGGCCACGTTAAAATAAACAAATTGCAAAATAAAATAAAAGATAAAAATCTTAGCAATAAATTCTACTCCCAATATCAACAAGCAACTAAACCCTAACTCATTGAATTACAAGTAATGACCATCAAATCATGCCCAACCAAACATTTTTCAGTTCACCATGAATACTTTTAATAATAATAAAAGTCTGCCATTATTTTTTTAATATATACTTATATATTTATTAGACGAAGAAGGAAGGAGGAAAAATGTCAACAAATTTAGCAAAATAATCTCATTTAGTAGAAAGTCGTTGCTCAAATACCACAAAATTAATAAAAATAAAAACGCCTCACGATTAGTTGCTTCTATGAGAACCGCAAAACTTGCTCCTAACTTTCATGAGATTCACATCAAATAAATCATAAAAAAAATCAGCTATAAATGAGCTTTGTGGCCATAAAAAAATAGTCTATTTCTCTAGAAAAGTATAAAAAAAGTATTTTACCACTAGAGTTGATTGATTGAAAGAATTTAAACAATGTAAAGAAGATTTTAATGGCATTAAGATCTTAATGCCCTGGATTAGGAAAAAAAACAGTAAAGAGTAGTGGGAATTTGCAATTTGGAGAATAGATGTTAGGTGGTTAGTGGATGAGTGAACAAAAAGTATAAAAAGAGGAGATCTAGAACATGGGTTTTGTGTAGTGAGATGAAGAAGGAAATGGCACTTAACGCCAATAATGCAATATGGCCCATTTTGATATGGGTGAGGTTATGGGAGAGCCATACATTTATCTATCAAACTATGGGTTTTGGCAAGCCCCACAAAAAGTAAATACCAGCTTCTCCAATGGTTTCCACCCACACTTGCTTTTTATTTTTGTATTCCACACCCTAAAACCAGTTAACCATCACTCACTTATAAGTGCTTCTCTCCTCTAAACGTTTTTTTAACCTAAACAAACTTTATCAAAATCTTATTTCTTCCGTCAATTACGCTCCTCCCTCTCTCTTCTCTTCTTTCAGAGAACGGAAGAAATCAAATGGGGTTCCAGAATCCACCGCACATCACCTGAAAAGGAGGAAAAAAGTATGTTGGTGGGTGTGGTTTTGGAGTGATCATAATCATCATCATAATCATCATCATCATCAGTGATTGAGTATGGAAGAGTGTCAGACGGTGTTCGGAAAATACGAGTTGGGGAGGCTTCTAGGGAAGGGGACGTTTGCCAAAGTGTATTATGGGAAGCAAATAAGCACGGGCGAGAGCGTGGCGATCAAAGTAATGAGCAAAGAGCAGGTGCGGAAAGAAGGAATGATGGAACAGATCAAACGCGAAATCTCTGTTATGCGTTTGGTGCGACATCCAAACGTTGTCGAACTCAAGGAGGTCATGGCCACGAAGACCAAAATCTTCTTCGTCATGGAATACGTCCGTGGCGGCGAACTCTTCGCCAAAATCTCCAAAGGAAAACTCAAAGAAGATCAGGCCCGCAAATATTTCCAGCAATTGATTAGCGTCGTTGATTACTACCACGGTAGAGGGGTCTCTCACCGCGATCTCAAACCCGAGAATCTCCTCCTCGACGACGACGAAAACCTCAAAATCTCCGACTTCGGTCTGTCTGCGCTGCCCGAACAGCTTCGTTACGACGGACTCCTCCACACGCAGTGCGGGACCCCTGCCTACGTGGCGCCGGAAGTCTTGAGAAAAAAAGGATACGACGGTTCAAAAGCCGATATCTGGTCATGCGGCGTCGTTCTATACGTTCTTCTGGCTGGGTTTCTCCCCTTCCAACACGAGAATCTGATGACCATGTATAACAAAGTCCTGAGAGCAGAATTCGATTTCCCGCCCTGGTTTTCTCCCGAATCAAAGAGGTTGATCTCCAAGATTCTCGTGGCGGACCCTGCCAAGAGAACCTCCATTTCCGCCATCACGCGCGTCCCCTGGTTCCGCAAAGGCCTTCCGTTGTCCTCCGTCGCCGACACGTGTCAGGTCGACAAGCAGGAGACGGTCATGGAGGAGGCTAATAATTCCAAGGTTCCCAAATTCTTCAACGCCTTCGAGTTCATCTCCTCCATGTCATCGGGCTTTGATCTCTCGGGCCTGTTCGAGACCAAGCGGAAGACGGCCACGGTGTTCACCTCCAAGTGTTCCGCGGTGTCGATTATGGCCAAGATCGCCGCGGCGGCCAGGGGGCTGAGTTTCACGGTGGCCGAGGTGAAGGACTTCAAGATCCGGCTCCAGGGGACGGCCGTGGGAAGGAAGGGGCGGCTCGCGATCACGGCGGAGGTGTTCGAGGTGGCGCCGGAGGTAGCCGTGGTGGAGTTTTCGAAGTCCTCCGGCGATACCTTGGAATACGCGAAGTTTTGCGACGAGGACGTTAGGCCCGCGCTGAAGGACATTGTCTGGACGTGGCAAGGGGATGCCACGTGCGCTGTTAACGTCCCCGGCTGTCACGGTGAGGAGTGTCAAAAGCAGGTCGTTAGCACTGTATAATTAAATTAGTTAATTATAATTAGTGTGGCAGATAGATACTGTGACACGTTCTAACTAATTTTGTTCTGCTTTGGCTTTGAGTTTGTCGCCTTTCGTCTTTATTCCCTGCCTAATTTTTAGAACGTAGGGTTTTGCACCTTTTCAAAGTGAGACTGTATATAAATTGTAAAATTGTAATTATGATGGTGCTGTTACTTTCGGAATATGGAAGCCATTACCGTCTCCCTAACTATTATTTCCTATAATTCTTCATGTAACACTAACTCATAAAAATAAAATAATTGTAAATATAATGTTATTTTAAAATAGATTAATCAATGGTGACATGGCATACAAATAACATTTAGTACGATTTACTAATTTATTTCACATTTCACAGTTCATCTAAATGTTTACCTTTTTTATGCAGTTTAAAACTGTTTATATTCTGATGCAGTCATAAATTATATAAATACCACTTTTAAAATAGTTAATATAAAAGTCAATAATTGAACTCTTATCATAGTTATAATAATTTATTATTAAATAACGTAAGAGTTAAATATATTTTTGATCCCTTAAATTTTATTGAAAATTGGATTTAGTCTCTCTTTTGAAACTTTGGACCAATTTAGTCCTCAAACTTTAGAAATGTATAAATTTATTTGATGTTTCAAAAACCCATTTCTCATTTAACATTAAAGCAAAAATGTGTCAAATGGTGTAAACAACTCAAATGCCATATTTAACCCAATAACATAGTAGCGTATGATTTTTTTTTTATTTGAGAGTTATTATAAAAGCAATAATTATAATATATTTTGACGCTATAATTGGTATTTTTAGATATGATCGAAAACTAGTTAATGTTGTTTTAGATTTTAGACAAAAAAGCATACATTTTTTTCTCTGCAAATATTTGAATCTTGAGTATTCATATTTTGGAAGATTAATTCATATTTGTTAGTAAAAGTATGTTATCATATGATGTTTTTCCAACATACGGGTCTCATGTGAACTGTTGCACAGGTGTTACTAGGGATGACAACGGGTCGGATCGGGTATGGATAGCGCCTACCCGCAAGCCGACCCGCCGGATAAAATCGTACCCGCTACCCGTCGAGTATCCATTTAAAAAATACCCGCAGGTACCCACGGATACCCGTAAAAAATAAAAAAAATATTTAATACATTTTAAAAATAAAATTTAAATAAAAAATATATATATATATATAATATAAATTAAAATTTAATTTTAATTAAATTTAAACTAATAAAATATAATTTTATTTTATTTTTAATTAAATTTAATTAAAAATATATATAAATTAATTTTTTTAAATTTTTTGCAGGTAACGGGTATCCGCGGGGCGGGTAGTATACTACCCGTACCAGACCCGTTAAGAAGCGGGTATTAAAATACCCGCTACCCGTTACCCGCGGGTAGTAAATATCCGCGGATAGTTACTACTTGCCGCGGATTTTACCCGCGGATACCCGAGTCCGCGGGTAAAATTGTCATTCGTAGGTGTTAGGTTACTTTAACCTAAATTCTATACTCTCTTCTCATTCAAACACTCCAATAATAAAAATGAAAGTATGTATGTATTATTCATTCTGTAAGGTATAAAAAATTATAAGTGTAATCTCCCTCGAGGAAGCCTATCTTTCTCCACTAGCAAATATGTTCAGTCTATACTCAAAAGAAATAACCTCTTGAATAGAGTTACAGAAAAATTATTTATAGTATCTCATTCTCGCGCCTCTTCCTAAGTGGTAAAATAGTCAACCTCTACCGTTCGGCTTCTCCTCCCATGCACTGTTCGACCTCACTTGCCTTAATGTTCGACATCTCCTCTCATGAACCGTTTGGCCTCACTTCTCCTCTCATGAACCGTTCGGTTTCACTTCGCCCTTCCTTACCGTTCGGTATTAGATTACTTACCTCTTTTATTCCTAACATTACCTCACCCCTCAAAATCAACCTTGTCCTCAAGGTTGAAGTCAGCGAGCTGTTATTTGATGTAATGTTCTTCTTCTCCGGTGGCGCCCTCTGATTCAGGTCTGGAGGCTTGGGTGGTGGTAAATCCTACTCCACTGTCTTCCATTCTTCCTGGATTCTATTAACTTCCAACAATTTGGTCACCTCTTTTCCAAAATCATAAGCTCGCAAAAAATGATCTTCAATGTCTTTCAATGCTTCAAGCAACTCTTTCCCCTTTGCAGGTCCTTCTTCATTGGAAGTTAAGTCGCTATCTTCTGTCTCCCCCTCCCCAAGTTCAGCTTGGCTCAAGCTCCAAGCCAGAGTCGTGGTTTCAATCTCTATTTCACTTAGGAGTACCTTCGGAGTAATAACTCTTCTTGTTAAAGTGGGATCCCCCTTGATCTCCACCTCCTTCCCTGCCTCCTCAATCTTCATGCTTAGTTGCCACCAATATACTTTCATTTCTCCCCGGAATGCCAACCAGGTAACTCCTAATATCACATCCATACTTCCCAACTCAAAGAGATAAAGTTTATCTATGATTCTTAATCCCTCCATCTCAACAATATAATAATTTTCATTGCTTACTATGTCAATGATGCAAGCAGACTCTCGTAGTCCACTCATTATCGCTCCTCCAACATTATCTGGGTGCTCTTGACAAGTTACCCAATCAGTCACCACATCGGCAATAGTATCTGGAACTGAATCCTACTCAAAAAATTTTAGGGGAACCTTCAATGCCTGTTTAACATGATCAGAAGAGCTCTAATTTTGACCATCTATAACTACTTTATCCACCCCTACTGCAATAAGGACAGAAGCCCCAACTGCTTTCCTGACATTCCATAACATAAAACAATGACCTCTACTATTTGTTCCCTCAGTTATTGCTCGAAAGCAGTCCACAACCTCCTCCCAAAATACACTAGGAAATTCCAAAGCCACTTTATTTAGAGCTCCATAACCAAAACGCTAAACAAAAGAACATTTCCACTGTGGCAAAGGTGGGAAGAAGTGTATAGTTTCAGCCTTCAAATAGTCAAGTAGAATAGTAACAAGGACAACATTACCAAAGAATTCCTTGCCATTTGCTGTAGAAACTTTAACTTTATAGCTTTGACCAGCCTCCTTGCTACCATATGACATATTTGTTACAACGTGGTTCAAGGGAATTGTAATTCCTTCTCCCAAAAACTCTTCAACGAAACTATAACTCCCTTTAATCATACAATGAGCTCCCCCAAAACCCCATACGCATCATAAGCACAACCAAACTCCAAATGAGAAAAGTTCCAATCCATAACCCTCCTCTCATGATGGCTCAAAATCTCCTCATCAATCTTTTTTCCTACAAAACTGCCCCTTTTGGAATCAAATGGTCCATCTGTAGAATTGTTTTGTTCTATCACTATGTCATAAAGAGGGCAATCACTGTTAGACACTGTCAACTCAAGGCCCAACTGATTATCAATCACCGAGGAAGGATCTAATCTTCGCTCAGTAGCCCCCACAGCCTCAACACTAGTTATAACGCTAGCTCCAAGATCAACAGAGACAGAAAGTGAGGAGTGATATGGTTTTTCCGATGTCTGTGGCACCAAAATTTCAAACTCCTGGATGTCCTCGTCGCAGCTCTCCTCCTGTCGCTTCTCTACCAGCTCCTCACAAACGGAGCCCCGATTTAGTCCGCCAAACCTCCATGTCAGATTGTCGATGAACACCTTCCAAGTCGAATGCCTGGTTTTCTTTCGCCAGAAGCGGAACCAATAGCTCGCCAAACCTCCCTCCATGCATCTATAGACGAGCTTCATCTTCTCTTTCTCCGTCACGTTCTAGAGGTCGAAGATTTTCTCCGCCGTTGCAATCCAGCTCATGGGATTCGTACCTTCAAATGTAGGTAGTTCAATGCGCTTCCTCCAACTTTGTCGAACTTCTCCTTTGTCTTCTACCGATTCCTCCTCTGAGTTTTTCGGAGGTCGTCGTTCGTGTTCAACATTGACGGAATCGTGACTTCCTTCGGAGCTCCGATGCTGGTTCCTGGTTCGTCGTCCTGAAGCTCGTTGAAACTCAAGAGTAGTCGCTCGCATCGCCGCCTTCAATTCCTCCATTGACGACTCCATCGCCGTCATTCTTCCTTCTAGTGCATTTAATTTTTCCTCCATTCTTCTTCGATATGGTTTTCTTCCTCGCTCGCTCTTCTTCCCTCCGACACAGATTTGGAAAGTCGGACCAATTGTTAGGTTACTTTATGTGAGTAAACTAAATTCTATATTCTCTTCTTACTAAACACTCAAACAATAGAAATGAAAGTATGTGTGTATGTATTATTGATTCTCTAAGGTATAGAAAATTACAAGTGTAATTTCCCCCAAGGAAGCCTATCTTCCTCCACTGGCAAATATGTCCAATCTATATTCCAAAGAAATAACCTCCTAAATAGAGTTACAGAAAAACTATTTATAGTATCTCATTCTCACGCCTCCTCTTAAGTGGTACAATAGTCAGCATCTACCGTTTGGTACCGTTCGGCCTCGCTTTCCCTATCCCTCTGTTCGATCTCACTTTCCCCTCCTTACCGTTTAGCTTCTCCTCTCATGTACGGTTCGACCTCACTTCTCCTTTCATATTCGGCTTCACTTAGCCCTTCCTTACCAATTGGTATTAGGTTACTTACCTCTTTTATTCCTAACAAGAGGTGTCGCCCTTTTCTCCTAATTCATGTCGAATGGTATTAGGTTACTTACCTCTTTTATTCCCAACAAGAGGTCTCGCCCTTTTCTCGTAATTCATGTCGAACATGTTATAAAATTGCAGGTGAGAGGAAAGACAGTGGAGTAATTGTTCTAGTTTTGTTTCTTCCAGAATGTATAAAAGTTTAATATTATCTATGCAGCAGAAGATAAGAAAAAATACATGCCACATGTAACCAGATGGTAATTTAAACTTAAATTACAAGAAATTATCATGATCAGGTCAATTCTTACATATGACAAAAAGAATACTAGTATATTATTGGGTATCTGAAAATGAGCTAAGTTCAAGGCATTTTCAAATGGGAAGATGACAAGTTGAACCAGAAGCATCCTAGATAAAGAATTTATAGAAAGAAGGGGACCCACAAATCTGAAAGCAGGCAAGGAGTGACCCAAAAGTTTCTGATCAATTCAAATAGATGAGGATGAAAGCCAAATCGTTTGGAACAGTTACCTCAACAAAACATAAATGTCTGTCCTTTTATAATTTATTGAAATTTGGTCACC